GTGTGTGTGTGTGTGTGTGTGTGTGTGTGTGTATGTGTGTGTACATGTGAGTACAGATGCCAGAGGTTGGAATCCCCTATAAGCAGAGTTACAAGTGGATGTAATTATATGTATGTTGGGAGGGAACAGACCTTTCATGCAGGCCCTCTGCAAGAGCAGTATGCACTCTTAACTACTGAGCCATCACTACAGCCCCACACCATAAGTCTTCTTAACTTACTAACCTGACTCCCGGTTATGCCCTGCATTGTTTTGACAAAACAGGCTTGCTCTCAAGTTCCTTGCCTGTAAAGACTAAATGGTTTATTTTTATTCATTAGTTTCATGTGCTTACTGTAATTTTCATACGTCTTTCGAAGCTACAGGATGTCTTAGTTAGGGTTTCTATTGCTGTGATGAAACACCATGACCAAAAAAGCAAGTTGGGAAGGAAAGGGCTTTATTCGGCTTACACACTTCAGCATTGCTGTTCATCACCGAAGGAAGTCAGGACAAGAAATCGAGCAGGGTAGGAACCTGGAGGCAGGAGCTAATGTAGAGGCCATGGAGGGGTGCTGCTTACTGGCTTGTGCCCAATTGCTTTCTCAGCCTGATTTCTTATAGAACCCAGGACTAGCTGCCCAGACTTGGCACCACACACCATGGTGATCAATCAGTAAATGAGAAAAAAATGCCCTACAGCTGAATCTCAAGGAGGCATTTCCTTAGCTGAGGCTCCTTCCTCTCTGATGATTCTAGCTCATGTCAAATTGGCACAAAAAACCCAGCCAGGACACAGAAAGACTCACAGAATCACACAGGGACTACATGATTTTTTTTTTTTTTAAAGAAAACTCTTAATCCTCTTGATGAGTTGGCTTTCTTCACAGTTATTCTACATGGCCACTAGATGGCATGTCCACATGAATAAAACAAAAACAAAAACAAAACAACAAAAAAATCCCAGCCCCTGTAAAGGATTTGGGAATGACTTTGGTCTTCCTTGGATGAATGGCATGTTCTGTTTTGTACTACAAATTCACTGTGGTTTCACCAAGATGCTTGTGTCTCAAGCTCAGAACTCTTACCCACCAGGAGTCATTTCTTCCTTGATATAATAGTTTCGATACATAGCAGATGGTCCCTGAGTAACAGCTCATGAATTAGTTCCTTAGTATTTTAAGAACAGGCTAATAACTCTTATGTTTGAGCACACAGTAGAGAAGAGCATCAGTTATACTGATAATAAAGACATCTTTAGCACTCAGGATGCTGAGGCAGGAGGGTTGTTGTGAATAACAGGCCATCCCTGGGAGCGTGGCTGCTGGAGGGAAAAAGACACACTTTTATTTTAACCTCCATAAGTGACTTTACAACCTGTCATCTGGGCTATCGCAGTCAGCTGTAGGCAGGCTGAGCAACCTGCATCTGAAAATGCGATGCTCACATGTGCCCAACATGACATCTAAAAGGTTCCGGGTTCTAGAGCACTTTGGATTTTGAATTTCCAGGTTGAATTAGGAAAATCTATACAATATTTTCCCCAAATTCTCAAATCTGAAACGTGTTTAGCTCCAAGCTTTTCAGATAAGCAATAATGTCCAAGTCACGATTGTGTCCTGTACATAGCTGTGCATAGCTGGGAATGGCAGAAGTTATGGGGGGGTTTTAAAGTGTTTACTGTCTCAAATAATGAATAGAGAACATCAAGCACCACCCCCCACACACACACACTAAGGGACCATAAATTCATTTTGAATGGCAGGTGCATCAGAAGCAGAAGTTTTATGGAAACCTGAGAGTTCAACAAGTGATCAGAGACCTCTGGTATTGCCTTCCCCACTCTCTCCCTCTCTATGACCCCCACCCTTTTTCTCTGATTAGATACGTGAAGATCATAGACACTATCAAAGGAAAGTGCAGAATTGCCTCACATGTTACTGTGGGTTCAAACTGCCTGCCTTTCTTCAGCTTCCTTCTAGCTTTCACCAGGGGAAAACCACCCCCTTTGTGTCAGATGTCACCGACCAGAGGAATTCCCTGGGTAATGGGTTTGGAGCATTTCTCCCAGAAGGGTATGTTAGTGGGTGTATGTACACACACATACACACTGCTCCCCAACACAGTGAAAACAGAACTAGCCCCTCCCCACAGCCCAAAGCAATCGAGACATAAAACACTAAGGGATTAAATACTTAAAATAGTCCCTTCGTCAACCGTTATGCCTGTACCCTGGATACCTAATCCGCTAATCGGTTAAATGCTCTGTGTGGTACAGCACTGGGTGTTTGCATCCTCTTCACTTATCTCTCCAGCACAATAGAATTGTGTGTGTTGGGCCATGCCAATAGGTTCCTTGAAAGGCCAGATTATGCCGGAAATACAATGTGTCCTTAGACATCACAAACAGCATCTCCCCCCACGATGACTCACAACGCCCTAAATCACAGGATCCTTCAACTGAGAATCTACTCTGCATGCCAGTCCTGAGCCAGACTGAAGAAGTCACCATGGTACTCTACCCCCTTCTGTGTACATGGTGTCTTCAGTCCCTTTAGGTGCCCATTTTCCTGTGGCATTATCCCTTCCCCTTTTAACCCAAGGCTAGCACTTTTACCTAAAACCCATTCAAACCACAATAATGAACAAACAGATTAATGTTGAACTAACTTTTCCAAGGGATATTTCCCTCAACCTTAAAAATAACCAAAGTCTGAGGGTTCCTTTCTAAAGTCTTTCTCTTCTGTGATCTACAGATGGCAAGTGATCTGAGGTCAGCAGGGCTTCCCTGCTTATGAAGCTTGGTGATGGCTGAGGTCTATACAGAGGTACCTCCAGCTTCATCACCCACAGCCCTGGCCACCCTTAAGTGGCTGGATAAGGGTCCCAAGTACCATTTCACCTCAAAGCTGGTGACACTTCCCAGAGTATCTCAGAGGACTGCTGAGAGCACACACCATCTGTCTTCTGGAATATTCAGTGTGGATCAAGGATCACATGTGATGAACAACTTCCCTTGAACATGGTTCCAGGGACCACGACCGTAACAGCAGTAGCAACACTAAAATGACTATCAGAGCTAATTGATGAAGTTCAGCTTTCTCTCCCTACGAGGTTGTAATGTTCTTCCTAATTACTTAGTAATAAACTTACTTAATAAACACTTACTACCTCCCAGTGCCCTGAGCCCTAACTCTGCTGTGGTCAGAACTAGGACACAGGAATATGTCAAGGATTCTTTTACATAACTTCTGAAATGGGGCCACAAATGACAGCCAATCCTGACATGAGGACGTTAACTCTCACGGGTTCTTCTAGACTCAGAGTGAAGAATCTAAGCTAATCTGGAAAGCAGGGATGCTCCCCTGGCAGAAACAGATGCCCATAGATGTCTAACTGGGAAAGAAAGGAGCTGGGCCTAAGGCTGGTAGGAGCTTATGTCTTGAGCCTGGGAGGCCTCCTGCTACTGGGGAAGACCAGGCAGTTACTTGCTCATGTGAGTCATAGGCTTCAGAAGCAAGCCCATCCCCTTGAGCTCAGGAAGAAGATCTTTGCTTTGGGGAGGCCAGGGGTGGGTATGAGCTAAGACACAAGACTTCCTTATGCTATGGAATGGTACTGTGCCATGACCCTCTGAAATACACCAAGAATAAATCATTCACTTCAGGGAGAGTGGCTCAGAGTTTCAGGTAGTACAAAGCTGACTCAGGACACTGCATCAGAGAGGTCATGGTTGGTAAGGTGGTCAGGCATGGTGGTGGCATTTACTCAGGCTAGGCGGAACCCAGCCCAGTCCCTCTCTGGGCTTTCCTGCCTGAGGTGTAAAACACTGCTCATCACAATCTGTTCTCTACATCCAGATCCCAGAGGCAGGACAGGAGGGAGTTAGAACTGTGGTATAGTCTACACACACCTTATACCTAATGATGACCCCAACAATAAAGATGGCATGCCTTCCTTGTGCATCCTTCTGTGGGCTTCCAGCTTTAAAAGGGGTGAGAAAAAGAGCTCACACTGACCATGTATGAATACATCAGAGCCTAGGCTGTCTAGCAAGTCCATACTCTTTATCACTTCTGGGTCTCCCAAGGGAATGTCTAATTGCTTTGGAATTAGGGATTAGAGTTCAGCCTAGCTCACTATAAAGTCTTCACAAGGAAGCCAGCTGCTTAGAATGAGGCTGTACCTAGTAAGGATAAAGGCTGAGTGAAACCTGTCAATTATGGAAAAGAACTAGAGAAAGACAACTAAGTGTGGGTCACTATCCTGAACCCTACACTTCTGGCTGACCTACAAATCAGAATACTTATAGAATTTCTTCTGGACTCTTGTCACATGGGACAAGAAACTGCCCTTGAAAATTTCTTCAGAAAACCAGATAGGTAAGTGAACAAATACACACATACCATAGTAATGACAATAATCACACCAGAATAGCTCTGAAGACAGACAGACCCTGAGGCTGTGTCAATGGGAGACTTCAAACTATGATGCTAGGGTCCTCTGGTAGGGCTGGTAAAATGACCTAAGTCTAGGAAGTTGCAGGCAGCAATACAGCACTTAGGTCCTAACCCCGTCCCTGCACTGTAGGTACACTCTCACACACAGACACACTCAGGTAAGGCCACCCTGTGTGTTCATGCCACATAGTCCCAATGCCTCACCTGTCGTCACAGTAGGTGAACTTCATGTCCATGCTGTGGCGGCTCAGGAAAGTCTTACTGTCCAAGGGGATGTCCATGTGGGATGGGTGCTGGATGGGTTCACACATGATGATGAGGCAGGAGAGCAGTGGCTCCTTGTAGCCACACAGGCTATTGTGAGGAGGGCAGTTGTTGTAGACTCTCACTTGGCCGGTGCAGTGCAAGACCTGAGGACAAATGACAGGAGTCAGAAAAGTCTGAGAGTGCCAAAAGCAGGGCCAGGGTTTTAGGTCACATGACTCCAACCCATGGCTAATAGCCTACCTTCCAGGTGGCTGACTTGAGGTTCACAGTCCGGCCTCTGTTGGTGACTGTGCACTTCATCCTCATGAAGAAGTCACGTTCGGTAGACATATCCTTGTTTTTCTTCCCAAAGCCAGAGCCTGAGTGGGGAAGAGCGTGGGAACCAGTTGATTTAACCGAAATCACAATGTTTCTTGGCAACTTGTGTCATGTTTCCTGGCCATTTGTAGTTCGGTGCTTGCAGTGTGCCATGGACATAGATAGAGTCCTTCGTGCCTAAAGACTAATGGTACCTCTGCAGCTGCACCTGCCTCAATTGTGGTCAGATTAGAGGACAAAGTGTGTCAAGGAAGCTTTCTGTAAAACTTCTATCAATGGCCACTTCCACTCAGGGGCCACTGGCTAATACCAGGTCCGTGCAGGCTCAGTGGAGGGGCTACTGGAAGGGGCAGAAACCAGATGCCTCTCTCCATCTTGGAGAGACAGGTGCTAGGCCCAATGAAGACTGAGTAGAAGGTCCTGTGTTACTGCATCACCAGGAACATGAACACCCAAAGGTGGGGCTGCCCCATCATTTGGTACCCTCTGCACTTAGCATGCAGTCAGTCAGTGCACTCAACGCTGTCACTTGAGAACAGCAAGGCTCTGATCAATCTCAGCAGCCTCTTGTGGGGGTAGGCCTGGTGCTCTAGTCACAAGTTTGAGGGAGACTATGGTTACTCCAAAGACATAGTCTTCCCAGTCTGCTCTTTCTAACCCATCTCTCAGGAACGGGAACAATTTATGTCCTATTTGCATCCTGGGACCACTATGTTCTGGATAATGTGCCATTAGTTTTCTCTTTATGGTGACATGTGTCAAGGAGGGGAGGGGAGGGGGGAAATGAACACACTCACACACACACACACACACTCATACTCTCACACTCACACAATGCACATTCACACAATGCACTCACACACATGTACACGCACATTTACACTCTCACATACTCACACACATGCACACTCACACACACACTCTCACACACTCTCACACATGCACACGCACATTCACACTCTCACACACTCACACACATGCACACTCACACTCTCACACACTCACACACATGCACAGTCACACTCTCACACACTCACATACATACACACTCACACACATACATGTACACTCACTCATGCACACGCACATTCATGCTCTCACATACATACATGCACACTCACACACACATTCTCACACACTCACACACATGCACACTCACTCTCACACACTCACATGCATGCACGCTCTCACACACTCACACACATGCAGGAACACTCACTCGTGCACATGCACATTCACACACACTCACACACTCACATACATGCACACTCTCACACACACTCACATACATACACACATGTACATTCACACACACTCACACACACATTCTCACACACTCTCATACATACACACTCACACACACTTATGCACACACACACACACACACACACACACACACACACACACACACACACCTTGTTTTAATTGGAACTGGGTGGACAAGTCTATCCTAAAGGTGTTCTTGACAAGGATCAGTTAAGATCACCTTTCATCCAGGATTAAACAAATCACCGAGACAAAGAACACACAGCGTCTTTCCTTCCGTACAAGTCCCCAATGCCTGCCCAGATTTTCTGCTTCTTGTTAGGTAAACTGGCAAATCAAAGGCCAGGTGTGTCTAAGAAAATGGTATCTATACCGCCATCTCCATTCTGGGCCTTCAAGGCCCAGCATCACAGAGAAATTTAGAGCCTTCCTTCAAATAGTCATACTACTCTTTCTAGGAGAAGCTGCAGCTGCACCCACACCTCTGAGGAACCTGGCTTAGTTGACTGACTGACACAGTCTAGAAGGGCTGTGTATCCAAAGAATCAGGACTCTTGAGCTGGACTCAAATACCTTTTGGGGAGCCCGCTAAGTGACAGATTGACTGTTGTTCTGATAAACTGTTTCATATTTATGACTCTTATGATTTTGGTTTTTTGGTGGGGCTAGTGAGGTGAGGGATTGTAACCGGGCTGGGGGAGCCCCCAGGAATTAGGGATGAGGAGACAAGAGACTCATTTCTGGCTGTTTGTCTGGGTTGTTTTAGTGGGCTCTTATCTTGCTAACCTCCAGAGTCTCCCCATTCTGGCATACCATAGCAAGCTTAAACATTTTCAGTAGCTCCCAACTGTATTTGGGACAACGTCTGAAGACCTTCCACTTTACCAGCAAAGCATTCTACGGCTTGTCGCCCCGTCTTTTCTTCCTCCAGGAATCCACCCTGACCCTCTGTTTGTAGACCACCCAGAGTCGAGTCTATGCAGACTGAAACCTTCAGTGAGCACTTGCTGATCCACTGAGTTTGATTGATCCCAAATCCCATTCATGAATCAAAAGACGTAAAGTTCTACTCAGATGAGGAGACAGCACTTAACTGTGAGCCAGTGCATCTGAAAGCTAGAAAACCTGGACTCAGCCTGGCCTTTTGCCATTAACTTGAAAAGAAAGAAACAGCAGTATGGGAGTGAGACACTGAGTTTAGGTCACGGAATCAATCTGAGGCCTTGGTCAGTACTGAACTGAGACCAAGAGCCTAGGGGCCAGTGAGTTCTCCAGTAAAGAAGCAGCAAGAGTCAGTTCTTTAGAAAGTGCTTTCTGAAGCTGGGCATTGGTGGTACACGCCTTTAGTCCCTGCACTCGGGATGCGGAGGCCAGCCTGGTCTACAGAGTAAGTGCCAGAACAGGCTCCAATACAGAGGAACTCCCCTCCCCCACACACAAAAAAGTGCTTTCTGACAGCTTGCAGGAAAAGACGAGTGGGCTAAAGGGTAAATAAACTATGTCTGAACAGGCCACACCACAGTCTCCACAAGATTTCTCCTCTTTTTGTTTTGTTTGTTTGGTTTCTGGCTTTTCTTTTAAATTTAGTTTTAATTTCTTTTGGGGGGGATCTGACTGCACAATGTGAAATCCATAAAGAACCAATAAAAGTTTTTAAAATAAAGTGCCTCTGAACCCTAGGTTTGTTGGTACATGTCTCTGATCCTAGGACTTGGGAGGGAGGATTACAAGTTTGAGGCTAGTCTGGGCTACAAGATCCCATCCTGGGGCCTGGGTAGTATGATAGCCCCTTCACCATAGAGAACTAATCATTCTATATAGTCTAGAATTTCTCAGCAGCACAATACATTAAATGGACCCATGCTGGTCCCCAGCCTGTGTACTCTGGGAGCCACCTGGGCAAAGCCTTTGGATAGAAAGCAATGATCCAGGTAAGAGGCTGGGGTAGCACTGGAAAGGGAGGTGGCTATAATTTTACAAAGCTTGGTAAGTCCAAGTGAGGATTACAGTGCTCTGTACCAACAGCGGCGGTGAGCCAATGAAACATCAGCTTTTGCAGCATGCATGGTGATGAGAAAACCTTGCAGGTGTGGTGTCAAGTGCCTTTGTTATTCAGGTCAGATGAGCACACGCCCTACTGTGGTGATGGGTGAGAGATGACAAGGATGATGTCTTGATGGGCAGTCTGTCCAGCCCAGTGATAGGTGCTAGAGTTCAGAGAGGATCTTGGAAATCAAAGGTTGCCACTGCTGCCTACAACTGTAGCTCATTTTGTTTGTTTTTGAAAGATTTATTGAAATTTTATCTGTGTATTTGTGTGTACTTTTGTGCAAGTGTCCACAGAGGCCAGAAGAGGCTACTTGATGTCCTGGAGCTGGAGTTACAGGTAGTGTGAGCCATTGGATATGGGAGTTGGGAGGCACACTCGGCTCCTCTAGAAGAACTGCCTGTGCTCTTAACCACTGAGCCATCTCTCCAGCCCCAGAGGTTTGGTTCTTCTGAAGAGCCTCATTCATGCTTTTGTTTGAATGTTACTAGAGATGAAGCCAAATGCCTTCTGCCTGTGTGATCATCATACCTACTGACACTGACTGGATACCCACAGAGATCAGTACAACAGAGCTTTAAAATCTCCCCCATCAAACCTTTCTGATTGATGTCTCATCGTCACAGGCTCCATTCACTACATGGCTCCTGTAATAGCTAGTCTTCAGTGGTGATCCTAAGGGCCATGCCTCCTGACACACACCCAGACAGATAGGCCTGAACCTTACATTAATCAGCAAAATAGGGGTAGAAGCTATGATGTCCCAGTTTCAGGACTCAGGCTTGGGAGGGTCTGTCCACTTCTACTGTTGCAGCTGGCAGGAAGAAGAGAGCTACGTGGTCTTGAGCTGCCACGTAAGATGGCTATTCTATGAGCCCGCTCATGAAGAAAGCTACTAAGAGGATCCATAGTGGGCTGCGGTCACTGTGTCCCAACTACCAGGAACAGGTGAGCCATTTTGAACACTTCTGCCTAGTCCAGCCTCCGATGACTGCAACCCAGCTGATGTCATCTAAAACAAGAGACCCGCCCACAGAACCCACAGAAACTTGGGAGATTGCTTAAGCCTGTGTTTTGGTTGGTTTGATATACAACAAAAGACATCTGTAGCATCTCCCATAAATAATCTGGTGTAGATGAAGTTATTGGTTTGGGTGGTGTCACTTGGCAGAGATAATTGATCTCAGGTGATGAAACCTCCTAGAGATGGCACCCTGACCTGATGGAGTACCCTGGTAGTATGACATCAGGTGTCCTGTATGGCCACCAGCAGCTTTTCTGAGTCCTGGGTCATATAATCTCAACTCAAAGGCTGCACATCCACCCACGAGCTAGTCCAACTGGAGCTTATGGGTGTCAGTTTTCCTGGCACCATGCCATGATCCATCTGGCCTTTATGAGCAGGCTTGGGGGAGGGGATCACAAGAAGAATGCAAACACTTTACCATTTTTGAGAGTCAGGTTCTCACGGATCTCCTCATGGTCACAAGGGTGAGTGAAGTCAAAGATGCTGTGTCCTGTTAGTTCTACCTGTTTAAAAAGCAAAGGTAGACTTTGTCACTCCTCATAATGAGGTCAGATCCCAAGAGGGAAGCTGGGATAACTTCTAGATTTGGAGACAAGGAGGAAGATTGACTTGAGTGGTCATTGACAATCTCTGGCCAACATTAAGTTTGTGGGCTTACAGATGCAACAGTGCTATTGGTGGTGACAGGGACTTGATTCATAAGGGTTGCCATGTTAATCTAGCAATACGAGATCTGCTAGGTTGGTCACAAGCAATGTCAAGCCCCATGCCACTGGGAGCAGGTTCCTAAGCCTATGGCCCAAGAATCATAATCATCAGGATGCCAAGAAGCCAAGAGAGATGGTGGCCAGGGCCTCCTAGTAGTTTCTGTCCCCAAATGAAAACATTTGTCCCTTTGGAATGAGGCAGAGGAGGGTGTCACCTGGGTCAGTCCCATGAACTTGCTGATGTTTTCTGACAGAAAGATCATATCACCGTCTTGGGTCACCACTGCAATAAAACCTTCCAAGGCTTTCAGGTACAAGTTATCCATTTGCTGGTCGGCCTCAGCTTCAGATTCATTTTCAGAGCAGACTGGAAAAAGGACAGACAACACACATGAGTGTGGTGTTAAAACAGACATGACTGAAAGGATAGAGGACTGCCAGGCATGGCTCCAGGGCACAAGGTGGACTTCCTGGGAAATGCATGTTGCCAACTATCCAAGTGTCTGCCCCATGCCTGATGAGTGGACACTAGATGAAACACCCTGAACATATTGACAATGATTTTGGGACAGCGTGGTTGTTGTGGTAACAGTACTTGAGGTATCAGTAGTAATGGTGATAGTAGAGGCTAGAAATATTTTAGCTGCTCATATATGTGTGCAATAACCACAGGCAGACACTGCACTAAACATAGAAGTTACAATGACTCATGAAGTAGGGACTATTCCTACTCTCATTTTACAGAGCTGGATACAAGGTTGTGAAGTCTAGAAAGTTAGCAAGCCCCAGGGGCTGAATGGAGTGGCCATGTCCAACTATCCTGCAGGCTTTGCAGTCAAATATTGTATCTATTCCTAGATCTGTCTCCCACCCATCTATGACTTTGGGTAACAACTGTTTGAACATCAGTTTCCTCATCGGCAAAACTAGAATAGTGATTTCTATCACCTTGGTATCAATCATTGTGAGCTATTTACCACCATCTACCCCATCTAAGATACTGCTACCATCCTCACATTGTTCAGAGCCAAGGTGGAGAATTCATAGCACCCACCTCACAAAGCTAAATAAACACTCACACATACTACAGTGGGGCATCCAAGTAGTGGTACAGAGAGCAAGTCCTCCGTGGGTCAGAAGAAGAGAATTAGTCTGCAGTGGTGAGGGGTGACACTCTTTCCAAAGAAGCAAGGTTGAGGAGACTTGTAAGACAGAGCTCACGCTAGGATGGAAAGAGAGGCTTTTTCTTGTGGAGGCAGG